GCGGTCTACGCGATTTATGGTTTTAGGCGATCCTTTACCTGAGCATGAGGTGAAAGTTCGAGTTCAACACGCATGCACGAAGGCGAAGATGGCCGAACTATAAAACCATTTTTTTATCGCGCGACAAAGTATAAAATAGGTTCCGTCAGCCCTTTTCAAAATGAGCCGCGTTTTAGTGTCCATCTGGTATTATGCAAGAGTTTGAGTTGGCCCACTAAACTATTTGGAATTCCATACGCCACATGCGAAATTCCGCAGAGGCTGAGGTGGAGTCAAATATGGTTTTTCGCATGGTCATGGTCATCACTCGCAGCATCACGAGTGAAACTAGTTCTGCGGCCTCATACGGTACATTGCGGACTACTGTGTACATTTTACACTTACATTTCTACGTTCACAGCCTTCGAACTCTCTCACGAAAGCAGCGTATAGTCCGAAACAAATTACGCCATGAGGGTGCGCAGCCATGAGATAATTCTGAAAAAAACACCACAGAAACTATGGAATTGGAAAGAAAACCAATACATATTTTGGGACTGCACAGGATTTAAATTATAAAACCTAGGCCCAGCTCATCAGTGCTTTACACCTGGCTGCTTCAAGGAGTCTAACGTGAACTCACTCGATCAGCTGGCAAGTAAGTGGTGACATGAACGTCCGACTGGAAGTAGTCCATGACCCACTGGTTGTACTTGCACCTGAATAACGTATTATAATGACATTAGCTTGCAAGTGGTAGAGGATCGAACAAACCCTCGCAACCAAGTGTTTTCGTAGCCGCCATTTTCATGTGATTTTCGGTCATACAAATACCACAAAATATAGAGGACTACTATGTACCAATGACCAGTCAAGAGCTGAAAGGTAGAGATGCATATGCGAAATAACGAAACAAAAAAAAATTGGTTTGAAGTTTATATGGAGTAGTTTGCATGCAGTCATCATCGCTTCTGGATTAGGAACTGCAGCGAGTATGGAAAGGTGCCAATTTTAACTGCAGAATAAATGCAGAACCGTGCACACTGCAATCATTGGGAAGAACATCCCAGACAGTATCGCGACACCCAGGCTCTCCAGTTTCCTATCCCATGGCTCACTCAGTGGAGAGAAGTCGATGCCAAGCAATCGGACCATTCGCAAAAGTAGCGTAATACTAACAAGAAGATCTTATATTCTTTATTAGATCACAGCGTTTTCATCTTTGAACAGTAATCGATGGCAGTGCAGGATCATCAGTCACCGCTGGAACTAAGAAGTCGAAATCAAAAGATCATAAAGTTCTGATGAATTATTCAGTCAGAAAAGGGAACATGAGTTGACTTCGGCCATGCAAAAAACATTTTAGACGAACGCAAAACTCTTTCGTGCTTTTTTGTTTACTTGTGTTCAACTGCGAATATTCGATTAGTGCTCCGAAACTGTGGCACTTGTGTAACGGCTTTTTGTTAGAAGCCACTTGTGATCCAGAATCTCTTTAGGCCTATCGTTGCTCGAATCAGGTTATTTGTTACACCAGTCGGATCGCCCGGCTAACGCCGAGCTCTCCTCCTTCTTGGAAGCCCGGCTTCGCCGGGCTCATGCAACTGCTTTAGAGCCTCACTTCTTAGCTCGTGAAAGAAAGGAGCAAAGTAAGGCATAAGCAGGGCGATACTACTGTCTTAGATTTATGATGCTCTCATGGTGACTAACCGCTGTCCTCTAATCAAATAAATGTAGAAACGCGCGCCACATGATCGCAGGGCACATTCATAATGAAAAAGTCAGAAAACTGGCCATGGATAATCGCTTACTCTCCTCCCCATCTTATGACATGGATGCTTTGGACTCCGCAGTCTCTGCGTGCTCGTGTTTCGGCGAGCGTCGGTCGCGTCAATATGGTACCCATTCACCACCTCACCTACCCCAGCTAAGCTCAGTCATCCCCCGCTCAGCCCTAAGAGTTCACGTCACTGTACGCGACAAGCCCCGTGCAAGAGGCTCTCGAGTACACTAAATGCATTGTGGTATTGTGAAGGGTGTTATGACTATCGAAATTATTACTATCAAAACGCTACCACAATCTGATAATGCAACATTAATCGGTTCATTTCCGAAGGCGGTCTATTTCTTTTCTTCTCTTACCACATCTGTAAAGTCCTCATCGCCCGCAGTCCCTGCTACGATGCGCGAAATTAGTCGCACTCAATCTGGTACCTCATCATCACATCATGTCCCACTCACCCTGCTTAACCATCGCCCACTCTCACATTACCATGTGAGCAGCTAGCGCAACATAGGGCACTCCCCTGCCGCTACTCTTACTACCGCCCTGCTCACGTCCAGATTCTAAGCGAGCAGTTCGTACGATTCAAGAACTTCTTAGTTCGTTGCTGTGACTTGGATTACCTTGCAGTTTTGATAGCGGTTCTTTCCCTTTTTTCTTGCTGCCTGCTCCTACGCTACACACCGCATCGCTGTACCCAGTTTGCCCGATCCAATCCCTCAGCCTCCTTCCCCTGTATGGGCTCAAATCCGACTGTGCACGCGCAAGGGAGTGAGAATAGGAGAAGGAGGTCACTCGGTACCCACTCCCACCTTCCTCACCTCACCCTTTCCGTACTCCACTCCCCTCCCCACATTGCCCTTCGGAGGCGCTCACGTGCAACTACCACACGAGAAACCCATGCGGAGTGTGGTGGTCCTCTTATGTAGTGGAAAGTGTTATTATGATCAAAACAACTTTTCAGTTCGTGACGGTAACATGGATTAGCCAGCTGTTTCCTTATCGGTTGTTTCCTCCTCCTTTGGTGCGCCTTTCTACTCAAGCGCGCGCTACGCACCCCTCCCTGCACCCCTTCGGGGCCCCTCCCCTCTGCCTCCCTCCCATACATGTGCTCAGCTCCGGCTGAGGCAAAAATGCAGGAGAGGGCAGGCAGGGCGGCTCGCACCTCCACATCACTACCCCGCACGAGCACACGTCCAGCTGCCACGCCAGCAGCTCGTGCAATGGCTCGGAATGTACCGAATGGTTGTCTTATATAGCGGAGGCTGTTATCACAATCAAATCATTGGATTGTTACATCCTCCCAGTCGGTTACCGGTTTGCATAGCGGTGGTTTTCGCCTCCAGCGAACTCGAACCCGTGAAGTATTGGTGCGGTACGGACAGACCTCATCGCATCCTACAACCTTATCATTACACCAACATCCAAACCGACGACACAAAGTTACCTGGGTTATAGAATGAAGGACTGCAACCAATCTCTCTTCTTCCTTGGCTCGTGCGTGATCCAGGGAATGATCTGAGCCTACCTCCATTGAAACGTTTAAAGTGCCCGTCGTTTGGAGTCTTAGGCGGAGTGTCATCACTTTTGCTTCGCAATAATGTTCAGCGGCTCTAGTTCCATTTCGGCTGGAAATCAGATTTCGGACCTTTGACCTGTAAACACAGCCCCCGCAGCCTCAAGTAATTCGTGGTCATCGTTCCATGTGCAAGTAGTCCAGCCAAGGGACTGTCCCTTTTCGCGACTCCGCAGCGAGCGAGGAGGGTACTGCCTGCTGCCGAAAGTTTTTATTCTAACACCCACTCAGTTGGACCGACCTACTTGTTAGATATTTTCGCCACATCTCACGCAAGGCCGCTCAGTTAATCATTGTTGTTGCGGCAGGTATTAATCGGAATTGGATGTCCATTTCGCTGACCGCAATAGTGCGCATAAGCAATTCTCCTCTTCTTTAATTCACTAGGAGCAACATACAGTCACTAGCAACCCTTCCCGCAAGGTAGAATGCATTAAAATAACTAGTGGTACAATTTTTTGGTGCAAAAGCTCGACGAGCACTAGAGGACTCGCTACCGCAATCTCAATACTTTTCATTGCATTGGATGATAAATACTACTGAGAGATGGGATAAAGCGATTTGTAAGTAAGCGGTTACGCAAAGGTCGCAGGGTGGAGTGACTGTCAGGGAGCTATT